TTGGATGATTCAAGCGTGGTTAAAGGGTAATTTTCCATTACGTTGGATTGGTAGAAATATCCCATATGAACATATTACCTCTTTCTGATATTTTTTTATGATGATCGAATGAAAGTCCACGGCTAATAGAGAATTTCAAAAAAAGGTAACAAGTTGCTTACGGCAGTCAATATATTGGGAGAGCAGTGGTCGTGGGTTTTTTATTTTGTGGAACAACCTTTTTTTGGATGGGGCGCCACTTGATTTGATTTTGCTAAAATCAAGAAATGAAAATATGCATAGTCAGAAAATTATTTAATAGTTGCTGCAGACTAAACCAAAATATGGTAGACAAAAAAGCGGTCATTGTTTTCATTACAAAAAGGATGTGATCCAGTAACACAACAAATGAAATAATACGACGCCGCTGCAGCTGCAGTAGGATCTCACAAAACAACGTTATAAAGTAAATTCATATGACTTTCATTACGTCTCACAAAATAATTATTGAAACGTTGGAAAAAATTTTTGAAACGTTACGTGCATGTAGACACATATAATTCAAAAAGGAAACACCAGGTATATAGTTGGTTTCCAAAAATAGGTTGTCTGTGTAGTGGAAATCAACTCCGATGTAAAAAATTGGAAATTCCTCACCAAATGAGTCCCTTCTTTTCTGGATGTTATCAGCAACAGGCTGTCTGAGAGGTCGAGTAGATTCTGGATGTAGTCTGGAGGGTTAGAAAACGAAACAGTTCAGTTGTCAGGCGATACTATAAATATCCTGGATTCGAAAGATATATGTCGAATTGGAGCAATTCGACTTTTCTTTTTTTTTTTTCAAAACTGGTCGACAGCAAAAGACGGTATTTGGGGATCCAAAAGGTTCCAAACCAGAACAAAAACGTTCGAGATGGTTGGACGACCCACGCTTCTTGGAAAATACCAAAGGCTGTACTTGTCCGTAGCTTAATGGAAACCGGCAGATCTACAGAAAGTGATCTCGGTTGTGATATTGGTTCCAGAAATCAAATGGTTAAAAAACTCACCTCCTCTAAGGGAAAGGCTTCCAATAAAATAATGCCCAACACAAAAATGGTAACTGACGTGACACACTCTACTTTCGTTTCTCAACCGTCACCCAAAAACCTTTCAGGTTGACCTCCGACCAGAAGTATTAACACAAACTCGTCCTTTGCGCCGTGACGTACACGTTGACGAAATTTGGTGTACTCCAATGGCAATACTTCTCCTTTGTATGAAGTATTCATTGAGCATTCCTTCTTTTTGAGAATTTTATTTCATTAATAATAATTCGTTTCTTTTTCTCTTCCCCAGACTACATCAACTATGCAATGAAATACAGAGTTATCAAGGAAATAAAATAGCTGATGTTTACTAGATTGGAACTCTGAAATTGTATACATGTATTTTATGATTTCCACAATTGAATGATAAATTTCGTAACAAGTGCTTTGGATTGTTGATAAAAGTCAAATTTTCACGTTACAAACATAACTCCATAACATAACTGACATAACTCCAATGGATTTTGCCCGCTGGGGAACTCTCAAGGATAGGATTCATGAGTCTAGGCCTCAAAATTTACAAAAACTTCGTGAGAGAATACGGCAAGCCTGCCAAGAAATGAGTATTCCAGAAGTGGCCAATAATTATAGAATAAGAATTGAAAAATGTAACAGAATTGAGGGTGTGCAAGTTGAGAGAGACAATATTTGGAACTGACTTCGAATATTGGTGATTATTTCATTTCGTCGTTCATTAGTAGAAAAAATACACCAAAATTAGCAAGTATATAAACAAATTGCGACCCTAAAGGTCAATTCAATTTCCAATAAACTACCAAATGCGTCACAAATAACTTGTCACTTGAACCCTTTTGGCAAAACACCCTCTCTATACATCACACACCCTAAAGGACTTTTCCATTATATTAAGGCCCTTTTGACACTTCTTCTTTTTCAACCCCTTCTGGTCATTAACAATCGAAACCAACAGGGTTTCCCAAGAAGTTACGTCATTCCATTGGCTTCTCTCAGTCCTCAGGGTGCATTAAGGCCCTTTTGACACTTTCTACGTCGACGACATCGACGACAATACCCTACTGGTCATTGACGATTTCCTCTACAAGAACTAACAAGGGTGCAAAAGAACTTGCGTCATTCTATTGTTCTCGGGTGTACATTGAGGCCTTTTTGACAACTCTTCACGTACCCACGTCACCCTTAAAGCTAAGGGTTGATAGAACTCGATGGACTATATCCCAAGTGGCCGTTAAATAACTATTCCCGTTGTATTCGCTTCATTAATTGATATTCTATTTAGACCGATGTCTCTGTGGCTTTTTAGTAACTAATAATCAAAATTTTATTTTTTTCATAATGAATTTTAGGTCTTTCCTTCTTATTCTCTCATTATAACAAGTTCATAAATTTTTTAGCTTTTTATTCGGCACCATTATTTGAAAATCGGACTTGAATATGAAAATTACAAAAAAATCATGCATTAAGGAAAATATGGAGAATTTGCCCCTTTCGCAGAAACTTAGTAGGCTAGAAGTGATTTTGAATTGGGGTGAAAGTAACCATCGGTTTTCTCCAAGAAGATAAATGTCTCTGAACTGGATATAATAATGTCAGGTCACACAATTCCGCTTTCAGCTTCGATGAGTTTGTTGGGGGTTGAAATGGACACCAATATGTCTTGGCACAATCATCAGATTTTCTTACTTTCAGGAAACAATATGTCACTGTTGGCACTGAAAGTTCTGAGATCCGAGGTATTGATCTGGGTGTAAAGCTTTTTATTCGGAACCATTATTTGAAAATCGGACTTGAATATGGAAATTACAAAAAAAATCATGCATTAAGGAAAATATGGAGAATTTGCTCCTTTCGCAGAAACTTAGTAGGCTAGAAGTGATTTTGAATTGGGGTGAAAGTAACCATCGGTTTTCTCCAAGAAGATAAATGTCTCTGAACCGGATATAATAATGTCAGGTCACACAATTCCGCTTTCTGCTTTGATAAGTTTGTTGGGGGTTGAAATGGACACCAATATGTCTTGGCACAATTTTCTTACTTTCAGGAAACAATATGTCACTGTTGGCACTGAAAGTTCTGAGATCCGAGGTATTGATCTGGGTGTATCACAAGGTTCAATTTTGGGACCAGTACTATTTATATTCTACATAAATGACTTGGATCACCTATCAGTACCAGCATCATTTACTTTATATGCTGATGACACGTCAGTTCTTATCTCGGATAAATCAGATGTACTATTGACGGAAAAATGCCAAGAAGTCTTTCAACAATTGCATGGTTGGTACTCTGCTAATCATTCATTCCTCAATATTGAGAAAACAAATTCTATGAGGTTCCACCTTCGTCAAAAAAGACGTGAGGATATTGAGTTTGGATTCGATAACACACATATTTCCACCAAGAATAATTCGATCTCCTTCCTAGGCTCTCATTTAGATCAACATTTAAACTGGGAGAATCACTGTCGCATTCTAATATCTAAAATGAACTCAATATCATATCAATTCAGAACTACTAGGGAAGTTCTGCATATGAATCAACTCATTTCTTTATATTACGCCCAAATCGATAGTCGATTGTGGTATGGTATCTGTTTCTGGGGTCTATCCCCATGCTCCAAATATGCTTTTTTGGCACAGAAACGAGTCTTACGTTCTCTTGTCAACACATCAAGTCGAACTAGCTGTAAGCAATTTTTTCAAAAATATAAGATTTTAACACTGGTGTCTATTTTGATTTTCGAACTATCAATATGGCCTTTTCAGCAGAGAGATACCTTACTCCAATCTAAAACCAAACATCACTTCGAAACTCGCCAAAAAAATGATTTACCCGTACCATTTAATAGACTCAATGTATCTTTGAAGTCACCCCAGTCTATGGCACCCAGAATTTTCAATAAGTTACCAGTTGAATTAAGAAATATAATTTTTTTTAATACTTTAACTGGGAAATGTCTGTATAGTATTGAAGAATATTTGTATCTGTAAATATTTGTATGGTGCTTTACCTTTTACTTAAATCTTTAATGTTTGTATGTTACTATAAGTTTTATCTTATTAGACATGTTTGTATGTTGCTATAAGTGATTAGACATAAGTATATTCTGACTATTCCTATACAATGTAAATTGTCGATTGGAAAATAAAGAATTGAATTGAATTGAATGTCTCTGGAATTGCAAAGGCTGCTTCTCAAAAGCTTACAACACTGTTCCGATCCAGAAAACTGTATACACCTCAGCAACTTTAGATGCTTTATAAAGCTCAGATCAGACATTCTTTGGAGTATTGTTCACATGTATGGAGTTCTGCCCCCACACATACCCTGAAGTTGCTGGATTCCATCCAGAAAAGAGCCATCCGCCTGATTGAAGACGCGATCATCACGTGCAACCTTGATAGTCTGGAACATAGAAGAAGGGTTGGAGATTTGTCTCTCTCCTATAGATACATTCACGAGAAGTGTTCAAGTGACTTGGCACATTTGATTCCACCAAGAGCGGTACATATCAGAAATACGCGACTGAGTGTGGATGCTGATCATTTTGAGGTTCAACTCAGTACACCTCGAACTTCACTGTTCAAGAATTCATTCATTTGGAGAATTGCGTTTGTGTGGAATAAACTTCCTGAGAACGTTTTTCCAAATGGATTTAATCTCCAGCGATTCAAATTTAATGTAAATCGATACTTTCGCACAGGCACAGGGCTTGTATTTTGCCCTTAAAAAAAAGACTTACTCGGGCTAAGTATTACGAAAAGTACGGCCCATGAAGGTGTATGCCTGTGCCAAAAATCAAATATCTGCTTTCAAAAATTACTAAAATACAGGGTTGTCTTCATCTTAAGTGTGTCACACTGTATAACTTATTTCTCTTGAAAATCACTCGCTCCCCCAGAAATTCAAATCTGAATCCGCCCTTGAATCTGCTGAATCGAGGGGTTTTTGAATATGCGACTTGGCAACAGCGCAGGCGACCACCGGCACCGGCACGTTAATCGCGACTTCTTCCAGTCGCACTTGAATGCCCGATGGTCTCGATCCGTGACATGGCGTAAGCGCAACGACCACCGACCTGTTTTCCAGAAGAAGAGACATGTTTCTTGCGTTCTCATCCAACGCCGTTTTCGCTCCGTTTTAGCGTGTAAACGAGTGCCGTTTTCGTTTTTGTTTTTGTGTGTGGACGGCCCGAATGTAACCAGCGAAGCAGGTATGTGTGTGTGTAATGTTCGGCCTTTTTTTCGGCCGTGGCCAGAGGGTCCACTTTGGAATCTCGGTTTGCTGCGTTGCAGTGGTATTTGACGAGATGCTGTTGTGATCTTTATGCAGATTTTCTACTTTGTAGTATTTTTTTCGGTTTGAAACTCCGATTTTGCCAAATTTGAGTATTTCTTCCAGATAACTGATTTAATCTTGAGACGTGTCTAAGTTAGGGAATTGTACATCCTAACTCCGGTCATGTTTTACCGAAAAGAAACGTCGTGAACTACAGGTCAGAATTTTATGATAGTGATTACAAAAATGTATGAGAAAACTAGATGACAGCTTCGGAAAAAAGTTGATGACGGATATCAATGAACGAAACTGTGCATTGAAACAAACATGACGGAGCACAAAAGTTTCTTTGCCTTTTATTATTTGAAATTGAGGCGATAGAGCCAGCAAACGAAACACCGATAATGTCAAAACCGGCCATTGATATTCGCGACTTGAAAAAAATTAATTCAACAAAAGACAGAGTTGAGAGTGACGTGGGGGTTAATTTCAGCTTTGCTTCTAATGCAATTAACATATTGGCAAAATTTGCATCATTTATCTTGAAAACTAAGGGCGATAAAAAAAAGAGGGATCACAAAGTTGTATTTTCATTATTGAATGTGATGATAAAGTTAGACTTCTGGTATCTGGTATCTGTAGAGTAGGGAGGGTGAGTGTAGGCCCAGAGCACTTAGGCCATATGTGACCCATTGTTCTTCCTCCCGAGGAGTTGTTCTCCTAGGTAATCGTCCATCCTGTCTTTTCCAGGAAGGTCAACAGGTCACTAGAAGACATCTCCTTCATATTGGAAGGTGTAGGCCAAGACTCGCCGAACACACACTATCTTTGGCAACCTTGAGGTGTCTCACGGTGGCCTCCGAGAAGGTTTCGGAAGGTGCAGCGATATTACTGTCATTGCGCTGCTTCTTCAACCTTCTTTGGGTTCCCTCCGTGGAGGTGCAGCCGGTTCCTTGCCTTTATTCAAGGCGGAGCTCTTGGCGCCCCTTGCTGTTGGAGGTGATCTGCTATGTCCAACCTCATTCCAAGCGGTAGATTGGGTGGACATTTCGGCCATTCAGATATCGGCACGATTACTTACACCATAGCTTGGGTAGGCTGGTCCACGGTGGCATATTTTGCAAAGGCTTTTGGGGGGTTTTAGTTCCCCTCACCCTACTTATTTCTGCCACTGACCAGGAGTCCGGCGACCCCGTCCGTAAGGCCACATTGGCTTCCCGAACAGGGCCTCCAGTCCCCTGACCTTTCCACTATCCGCCACCTGGGGACGCGTTCGATAGGTAGCCCAACTCACGGGTAATGTTAGACATTTTTCAATTTGAATATAAACCAGTTAACCATCTGCGATGCCACTGGAATTGATTTTTCAGATCTGATTACATCAAAAGAACATAAAATCTGAAGCAGTCAACGAATGTTCAATATTTTTTCCACACATGAAAAAGAAAAATCGTTGTTGATTATTTTTGAAGAGGATGGATATGCATCAGTGTTTGGCAGACTCTTCAATTTACCTTATAAAAAAATTATCTAACAGAACAATTTGTTCAGACCAATCTCAACTTGCCTACACTGTAGGTTAATGGACTGACACCTATCAGAAAACTGACTACTCCCCTGGATAATACCACGAAGGGCATTGGATTATATCCGACTGGTGTAAGTGCAGGAGTCTTCACTGAAGTTATTCCTGCATATGTTGTTGGCGATACAACTGCCGGAATCGATTTTCAATTATTGAAACACACTTGCAGCCGGTTTCGGGCTGTTTGGCCACTCATCAGTGAAAGGTACTGTCTACGATCAACATGTAGTCGATGATTTTCTATAATTGGCAAAGTTGAATTCCTTTCAGAGTATCATGATTTAAGTAAGGCATTTGATAAAGTCGACCAATACCTTATTATTTCAAAACTTGCTGAAATCGGTATAGAGGGATATCTCCTTGGATGACTTTCATCCTATCTTTACAATCGCAATCAGCTAGTGAGCGTAAATGGATACAGATCTACTCGATTTGTGGTAACTTCAGGGGTCCCTCAAGGTTCACATCTGGGTCTGTTAATGATTCTAGTGTTTATAAATGATATGAAAGGTTGCTTCAAAAAATGCGTAAAAGTATGAATAAAACTTTAATTGCATCATAATATAAAGTAAAACCTAATAAATGGCGATGATATCTGTCATGTAGACACTGTAAACTCAAAAAGTTCCCGGCCTCCCTGTTGTCGGGGAAACGGACGTCCGTGGAACGGACGATTTTGGATGCAAACTCCTATGTCTTTATGTCGAGGTCATTCAGCTCCCCCCCGAGACCATTTCACTACTCCAAACGAGTAGAGTAAGATTCAAACGGCAAGCATATTTGTATATTTGTAGCAGAAGTTCCGATGATCAGATCTGTCGGAGATTGTGCTAATACTTGCTACGGAGAGAGTTCTTTACTCATCATTCATCTCTTGGAAGTGGCGTTGTTCCACTCCAAGATAATTATACGTATGAACTTTTGAGCTGGTTTTGGCTCTTTCTTTCCTAATTTTTGCGTTTCGCTGGGAAACTCCGTCGTGGATGGGCGTTATTTTGGGGCTTTTGCCTCTTGGTTTTCTTCTTCCGCCGACATATTGTCGTCGGAATCCATGCCACTGATTTCTGAATCAAAATCAATAAAACGGTGAAGTTGAGGTTTGCCATTTCTCATATTCAGGTCCATTTTTTTGCATAAAATTTGCATCTACTAGTTCTTTGCTACTGATATCGTGATGGTCTATAATTGTGGATATTATAGCATGACCTGCACCTTTCGGGTGTTTGCGTATTTTTGTAAACAAATCTTCTCAAAAATAAAAAAATATATTGACATATCTTCGGTCAAAACTTTGGTTAACTCTATTTGTAGTTTGTGAAACGGTTTTCTTATGAATCTGGGAAAAAATCCACAAACTGAAGTCCATGCGATTTTATCGCGGGCAACAGCTTGTTGTAGTGTTGCCCTTAGTTAAATTACTTACATTATACTTTTCAATATTCTTGCGAAACCACCTTCGGCAACGCCGTATAGTTTTTTGTCAACCCTACCCATGCGAAGCAGATAGCGGACCCTTGGATAACAGTCGGTGTTTGATGGCATTCGGGATTTAGAGTTCAAGTTAGTAACAAGTAATTCGAGACAATTGTGAAATGGCGTTCACACTGTTTGATTAAAAATAAACCGAATTTTTGTATTGTTATTCAATTAAAACTCCAGAGCTAGTCGGCGCCCAACAACATTCATAAGAAACAAAAGTAACCCGATAACAAGCTAGATTGACATGAATCCAATTTTTGAACCTGCTCGGATTCCGTCCCTGCACCCGTTCTCCGGACCTGCACCCGTTCTCCGGACCAGCCGGAAAGAACGCGCTTTCAATCTCGCAAGATGTTTTCATTGTATTCCGTCAGAGAAACAAACGAACAATGCTTCGCCGTCGACGGAAAATTCCCCGGGATCGTTCCATGCACAATGGACGGGCGCAATGCGGACTAATTGAACGAAATGAAACCGACACTGAAATGATAATTATGAAAGCGCAGCAGTCTGCTGAACGTCGCCGATAAAAAACTATATAAACAATCGAACACAATGGCTCGAGTTGCATGACACAGAATCCGAGCGTGCATTTTTGCCGGAGTCATGAGAATATCTGGTAACTGGTCGATAGTTTTACGCTGTTTTCGAGGAATATGCCTGTGATGTTTTTTGTTCGAAGCGTTTTCCCTGAAATCCCAGCTCTGTAGCGAATATAGAAACGTTTTCAGGATATTTCAATGAAATGAATGAAAAATACTTTTGTCTAATTTCCACTTGTTATTTTATTTTTACTACCGGTTTAGGGTTTTATACCATTATCATTTATAAAAACTAACTAACTAACTCGATAGTTATCAAGTTTTTTAAATGATAAAACACAAGCACTACAGGAAAGTCCTTGAGGTGTTCTAAGAGCGGTGCCTGTGCGAAAGTAGCGATTCACATTGGATTTGAATCACAGGAGATTAAATTCATTTGGAAAAACTTTACCAGGAAGTTTATTCCACATAAATGCAGTTCTCCAGATGAAAGAGTTCTTAAACATTGAAATCGAGGTGTACTGAGTTGAACCTCAAAATGATGAGCACCCACAGTCCGTCGCGTCTGATATGTACCGCTCTTGGTGAAATCAAATGTGCCAAGTCACTTGAACACTTCTCTTGAAGGTATAATTTCGGGAAATTACTATTCGATGTTACTGTTATAGAAGAAAGACAAATCTCCAACATTTCTTCGATGTTCCAGACTATCCAGGTTGCAAGTGATGTTCGCGTCTCCAATCAGGCGGATGACTCTTTTCTGAATGGAATCCAGCAGCTTCAGGGTATGCTTAGGGGCATACCATAAAAGGTCTGATCTAAGCTTTATAAAGCATCAAAAGTTGCTGAGGTGTGTGAAGTTTTCTAGTTTGGTGTTCCAAGAGAAGCAACCTTTGCAATTCCAGCGACATGATTGTGCCAAGACATATTGGTGTCCATTTTAACCCCCAACAAACTTATCGAAGCAGAAAGAGGAATTGTCTGTCCTAGGTTTTTGAGGCATTCCATTGAGCCTTGTTACTTTCAACCCAATTCGAAATCACTTCTAGATCCTCATTAAGATATGTAACTCACTGCTGATGGTGAAGATGTGCATCTGCAGTCGATGCCCTGGAATCAAAGCAAAGCAAGTATAAATAACTAGTTAGTTATTAATTGTTATGGAGTAAATGGAACTCTAGCGAGAGGTACTATTGGGTCAATTGCCATCGAGACGTGGAAGAGTGGTGTAAGCGCTGTGATCTGTGCTCTTCGAGAAAGGGTCCAAAGACAAGGCAAAGATGAAAGTTGAAGCAGTACCTCAGTAGGTGCCCTTTCGAGAGAATCGCA